TAAAGTTTACTAAACAACATACGCTATGCATATATATATATATATATATATATATATATGTGTGTGTGTGTATATTATACCATCAGATAATTCAGTTATTACTCCATACACACAAAAACTGTATATACCCTATATATACACTAGCATCAGAAGCCATACCTCAGCCATGCTGAATTCCCCCACAAGCTTCCCAGAGGTATTGACCACCCCCACCACACTGAGACTGAGCGATGTCATCCTCTCCACTGCCTCTAGCAGCATATCGTTCTGTTGGTCGGTAGTGTATATAACCGAAAGTGAGTCATCAGTGAGTCATCCACGCGGTGTATTGGCGACTGGAAAATAAATAACATTCCAAAACGTGTCGCAAATCTCGCTTATAATATGTATATATATATGTATATATATATATATATATCAATATATTTATCAATATATAAATATATATATATATGTATATCAATATATAAATATATATATATAAATCAATATATCAATATATAAATATATACCTCTCTGTGTGTGTATATTACATACCTCTTGTACCGTCACGACTTCTTTCCTCAAACCAAAGGCTGATATGGGACTGTCGGGTGAGTTATAAAGGGCGTCTATGTTCTCATACAGCACACGCAGTAGGCCAAACTGACTGATGACACCTACGAGCTGCTCGTCTTTGTTGACTACCATCAGGCGATGCACACGGTGCTTATTCATCTACGGGTGTGTAGAGTGTTTATGAGTATGTGTGTATATGATGAGTTGTGCATTTGACTATGTGGAGTGTGTGCGTGTTCGTATAGGTGTAAATACAAGTTTAATGTTGTTGCACGGTGTGTATGTCACTATGCATGTTGCTATGTATGTTACTATATATGATACTTTGTACGTTGCTATGTATGATACTATGTATGATACTTTGTACGTTGCTAAGTATCTATGTATGTTGCTTTCCATGTTGACTTGTATATTGTTATGCATGCTGTTATGTATGTCGATTCGTATGTTGCCATTTATGTTGCTATGGATGCTGCTATAAACCACAATCGAGTACATGTACTCTAAGCTGTGGCAGTTCACATACCATCTTGACCACGTTGTACAGTGTGTCTTGTCGGTGGACTGTGATGGTTTTGTTCGCATCGAGTACGGATAGCAGAGAGTCTACGACAACTTCCGTCGCAGAGGAGTTCCTGTGTATCAGAGGTGGCATTAGAAACCTCGTTTAATAAGGAAAACCTAGTGCGACTACAGATTAGATAGGGGTGAGGTTTCGTTGCGCGAGCTTAACGAATTGGGTTCTGAGCCAATTAAAGAGGTGCGATGCGAGTGTTGATTAGTTTGAAATAGGACACTAAAAAAATTTGATACGTCAACAGCATTTTATGCAGTCATCAAGTATATTTATATGCATCTGTAGGTACACCTGATATATTTGTGAAAAACATACATACTCATATATCCATATTCAAATACGTATACATGTACATGCGTACACACATACATATATATATATAAATATATATATATAGATATATATAAATAAATATATATATATAGATATATATAAATAAATATATATATATATATAAATACATACATATATATATATAATACTATTTTATATTTATACATAT